TATTTGCCATAGCTTTCCTCCACAGGAGCAAGGATCTTTTAATTTCTCCACTGCAGTCTCTATCAGCAGTGACCTTGGAGCTCAAAAAATAAAATCTGTCACTACCTCCATTTCAGGATCCAATGCAGCCATAGATAACACTATTTTATTGCCTATTAGCCTGCCTAGAACAAGATTTACAATAAATTCTTCAAATTTACATTTCCAGATTAATTTTCTGAAGACTGAAATGGAAAGAAAAAGCAAAATGATCAGAGATCTCCAAAATGAGGTGAGATTATTATCATTTTTCCTGAAAGATGTTGAATAATTGCTGCACATTTGTTAGGAAACAAAAACATGGTATCCATGAATTGTTTTATAGAAAAAAGAAAAGGCATTATTAGATGCCCAGAGTATTCCCAATAATACATTTCTTGTTTTATTATATGTTTAAAATGACATATTGCAACAGAAAGAACTAGTTTTGAATATTTAAACATTCAACCCTTATAAAATTGTAATTAATACCATAAATTATCCTGAATATTAAACATAAAGTAACTCTATTTACTAATTTGTGGGTACATATAGAGTATGTGGATACTTGATTTGCTACACCATAATCTTGGCAAAGACACTATTGGGAGTTTTTTTATTCTTTCTCATAATTTTGTTATGTGTTATGTATTTATATAACTAGTTATGTTGGCTGAATATAAATAGGCTACATAGAGTGGATCATGATTATAGTCCAGATTGTTAATAATGACAAATCACTTCCATGTTATTACTAAAACAGTCAAATGGATATTCTCATGATTCAAACTTGACTTAAAAGACACTTTACCTTTTAATGTGAAATTTTTTTGATAGTTATTTTTCATTATTTGCAGATTCAATGTTTGCCAGTTTGGCTGCTCACTAAACTTTATTTATAACTGCAAAATAAATGCTCACATCACTTTTGTGGTCATTCATTGGCATGGAGATCAGTGAAAAAATTATCAGCCAATGTACTCATTCCAGCTGACCAACTATTCAATAATTCAGTATTTGAGTTACTGATGATATAGTTTCAGTTTTCAATTCTGGTTGATAGAAATTTTTAATTCCTCTTAATGAAGGATATTTAATTATTTCCCTCAAAAAGGCTTCATTTTCAGGTCTGCTATGCAACATTCAATGAAGTGAAAAAACAGACTTTGTTGCACTTTTTGTATTGATTTGGAAAACACAAATTATTAAAATACAAACCAAATGTATTTACCCCCATTTTGAGATTTTAGAATTGTTCTTTGCTATATTATATATATTGAGAGCCGAGGTGGCGC